CAGCCGCAGCTCTTCACGTTCTTCCTCTCCTAAAAGGAAGAAGAGGCACAGTCGCAGTAGGACGCCATCGCATAAGGTTAGGCGCAGCAGAAGCAGGAGTTACTCCCACAGAAATAGGAGAGAGAGGAGTAGGAGCAGAGAGAAAATACGGGAAAGGAGAAGATCTAGTAGAAATCACAGTGCTGAAAGAGGGGAGAGGCGGAGAAACCGGAGTCCTTCAAGAGAGAAAAGCTGGGATAGACGTAGAAGCGGTAGCCGCTCACGAGACCGGCGAGCCAACCGTGCAAGCCGCAGCAGAAGCAGGGACAGACGTAAAGCTGAAGACCAGCGTAGAAGCCCAACTGGAAATAGGCACAAACATAAAAGTGAGGGTAAAGATCAAGACAGGAAGAAGGAGCAGGGCGGAGGTGTAGATAAAGACAGAAAAAAGAACAGAGAAAGGGAGAGAGATCAGGAAAAAAGAAAAGATAAGCCCAAAAAAGAGGAAAAAGAAAGTAAGGCTGGCAATCATGATGACAGTAGATTAAAGAGAAAAAGAGACAGTGAAAGAACTTTCTCTCGCAGTGATTCAATATGTGTGAAAATAATAAGACAGGATTCCAGACAAGAAAGCAAAAAAATTACTACCAAAGATAGCAAAAAGCGGTCAGGCTCTGAATCTAGTGCGAGAAGTAGTTCTGAATCACCAGGAAGCAGTAAAGAAAAGAAGGCTAAGAAATCAAAGCATATTCGGTCATGCTCCATGGAGAAATCTCAAAGGTCTGGTAAGAAGGCAAGCCGCAAACACAAGTCTAAGTCACGATCAAGGTAGTATACTTTTTAAGTATTTTGTCTGACTTTTAAATTTTTTTTTTATATTCGTCTTCATGTGTTCGGCATATGAACTTTTTAAATAAAGTATGGTATTTATTAAACTTTTTGTCTTGGGCAAAAGTAACTTTGGAAAATCTTTTAAAACTATTAATTACTAAGCCTAAAGTTTGTGGGTTTGGGGATCTTTTATTTTTTCCAATTAACTTTTCCCCCCTTTTCCTTTATTTTTCAGATCAACAACTCCTCTTCGTCGTAAACGCTGAGGAATTTATGGCACCAGTGCTATGATGTTTAAAAATTCCATGAGTTATAAAAGGCTTGTCTCATTATAGAGGCACATTGTGGCTATGTAGGTGAAACCAGAATCCTTTTTTTATCTGTACATAGGTGTATTTTTTCCAAATGCTGCTCAGAATTAAATACCTAATAGGATTTCTTTGTATTACATTTTTTCAAGAACGGTAGTGCTTATTAAGACTATAAAACAGGCCATTCTCTTTCAGCTGTAATGTTCTTAAAATTACTATTGAATGTACTGTGATGTCAATAAAGCTCTTTAGTTAATTTTTGTTTAAAATTCTTGCACCTGAATTTTGTGTTAAATGGTAGAAAGTACTTAAAAAAAAGGCAGCTTTTTTGGTATAACAAATTTTTAAAGTACTTGAGAAAGATTTAACATAAAACACTTGTCACAATATGTAATTCATGGATTTGATGAGATTACTCTATTGGGGTTGTGGAAGAACAGAGCAAAGGCATTTTCCTTTAGATATGTGTAATAGATTTTTAATAGCCTTTTTTTTTTGGTCTAGCAAGTACTATATGCTGTGTGTGTAAAATATGGGTCACTGTAATACAAGCTATACTTAAACAGACTGAACCCCATTAGGAATATGTGCGACTAACTGATCTTGTGTGACAGTATTAAGCTCTGGAACTATATTCCTCACCCAGATTTCAGAAAGAACTTTCTGGATGTTCAGGGATATTACACGAACATATCTCAGAATTTTAGATGTTTTTATGGAATATGTTTACAAATGTCACTGAGTACACATTAGAAAACTGACAATAGGTTAACTTCACATTTTGGCACATGCATTAATTAAATGCATAGTGAATATTAAAGCTGGTTATTTTTGTTAGCATTATGAGAATTGCGATTCCTGTAAGGATAATACATTGATTAGACAGCAATGTCAGTAAATTTTTGGGTTTAGTGTCACTATAAAGTGAAAGAGGTCACTGATTATCTACTTCGGGAAATTGACTGTTAGAAACAAGAGTGTGAAATAATATCCCTTAAAAAGCAAACCCAACAATATACAACCCTAGGTCAGTGACTGTTGCAGAAGAACATGAATTCAGGGTGAGATCTGTGCCTAGAAGGTCTGGTATGACTCCAGCTGTGAAAAAGAAAAAAGGCCTAACATCAAAGTAAGTTTTCTTTGATTGGCTGTATCCTCTAAAAAAAAATTTACTAGTACAGGCAACTTGTGAAGCATGTCTTCATGAACAGATTAATCCATTTAACTAAATTAGAATTAAGCTATGCAGCATTTTTCCACTGTAATTTTTTTCATAAATTAGATGCAGAAATAAACTGTCTCAGTGCAAAGAATCACATTTTTAACTATGCCTTTATTAAGCAGGCTAATGGCTAGTGAATACATGCATGTTTATCAAAACACTGTTACAGATAAAGAATTAGTTAATCAGTTATAAATTATAACACTCCCCCAACACCCTTTTACATAGAGTAAACAAGTCATACTTATTAGCAAAATAAGGCATAATTTGCAGCACATAACTTCTACTTGCATTGGTAGGGGTATAAATAAAAATATGTTGATCCAATCTTTCTACACTCTTTGGGTAAGAGTGAGGATTTTTTTAAAAGTGGGAAGCGTAACAGTTCAGATATTTTAGAAGGATGCCTTGAGAGAGAAAGAAAGAAACTAGAAATAACTTTAAGAAAAGCTGTTGAGGAATACAGTTTCCAGAATGCATTGAATTTGATTTTCAGTTCAGATTTTATATTCTCTGTCTAATAATAAAAAAGATTGTGTATGAAAAGCTTTATATACTCTGCCAACAACTGGAACTCTGTCACTTCCTGTAAATATGAAAATTATTTTTTTGACACAAATGCACTTATATGGGTAGTGACTGTATGCCAATAAAAAGAGCATACAATCTCTGTATTTAACTGTTTCAGAAATCTTACTATAACGGCCTACTCAGTAATTCAATATCATCAGTACTCTGTCAGCATCACATACATTAGACTTCTTTGGGCTTTAATAACTCCCTTAGGAATGTTTTTCAGCGGAAAAGGCTAAAATAACAACCAGTGTTTTAATTCCATGCTTATGAGGTGATCTGAAAATGTGCAAATATATACAAAAATGGGTATGTATCTTTCTGGAAAAGTCTAAATTGGGTTGTTGCTCTATTCTTTTACATTTTAAAATGAATGCTGCAAAAACGTTTCAGGGCACTGCAGGAAGCAAGACATAGGATTTTGAATGTTATGCAGCAACATGACAGTTGGAGGCATTTCCCTTGAAAACTTTTTTAATAAATAAGGGATAGTGTGGAATCAAATGAACAATGATTTCCGTGCAAATTGTTCTGAAGATGAATACAACAAAACCAATGTGAATATGTACCCCAAGGTCCCCTCTACAGCATGTAAGAACAGGAACCAGCTGTGTTCATGGATAGGCCAAATAAAAAGTAGTTGGGTAAAATATTCTGACTTTAAAGATGGAGCAACTACATGCATTTTGAAATATGGCACAATAACAAAAACTCTGTTCTGTGTTTGAGGCCCTGTCTTGTGGACAACCTCTAGTTTAAAACAAGCTTATCCTCTTAAATAGAATACTTGCCACTGTGCATGTATTTAATTGCTTGTTACTGATTTTAAAATCACAAATATAAAAGCAATGGCAATGTAAGGATTTGCTCTCGCTCAGATTTTGTGTTTCCTTTGCTAAATAAATGACAAGTAATAAATTAATTTGTATAAGTAATATGCAGATGCACAGTTTGAAGGAAGGCTTAGTCTTGTTTCTTAAGGAGACTGTCCTAGCATATAGGATTTCTTTGAGCTCTGTGTTTTTCAGTAGCTCTGGGGTGTTATTAATGACTCTTAAGTTCAGTGCACCATGAGCTTTGTTGGATGGAAAGCAGGTGAGTAGAGAAGTGTTGCAGGTTTGCCATAGGTTTAATTGCTGTTAAGTTTTTTTGAGCAGTCTGTATTTAGCTTTAAAAAGAAAAAAAATCCGAACTTTACTACATGAATTATACTGTATTTATAGGAGACCTGTAAACAGGCAGATTTCAAGCAGTGAGGGTTATAAGTATCAAGCAAGGTCAGTTAAAGCAAAATGGCATTAGAGGTAAGAGCAAGTCAAACCAGGACTGGTTATACTACTCCAGACTTCCTGCGGTCTGGAGGCTGCCCTTGCCCTTGGCTTTGTTCAGGCTGTGCTTCCTGCCATGCGGATGCCAGCATGGCCAGGCAGGGAACCCGGCCTGCGGTCACCTGCCTGGCAAGCACGGGAGCACTGCCAGCTGCTGCTTCCACGGCATACCTTTATCTTGCTTTGCACCGTGCCCTTCCAGCCAGCTTTAGTTCTTATTGGGCTTTCCTGTGAGATCTGCAGCTCAATAAAGTGTCAGAAAATGAATATTTTTAAAAACTGGCTTAATTCTTTTCCATTTTAAGCTTGTTAAACTATCTCACCATGGGGATTTGAGAATGCTGAAGCCC